TTATGTCCATGTCTGCATTTAATTTCCATGCCAAGCCATTTCTTGTAATTTTTTTCTCAAACCTATTTGTGCAGTGCGTTTTCATTAGTTGATTTAGAAGAACAAAAAATGGAGAACACTCAACAGGGGTAATGTTAGAATAAGTCTACTAATTTAGAAGAAATCGATTTTCAGTCATGAGTGGAGAGCAGCTCGGCATGCTCGCTTAAAATTGAAAAGCTTCAGGCACTTGTTCAAAGTGCTGAGTTCATAGATATTGTTTATTAAGAAACGGAGTATGCTGCACATTTAGAAGTACATGGGAAAATGTACATTTGGGGCCTTGTGTTGTAATGCAGTCAGAAATAAAACCAATGTTTAACGCCCCTTCGTGTACTTTGCAAGTTAGTGGTCCTGTGTCAGTGTTTGGGAGTGTATTTGTCACTATTGAAACTGTCTGAGATGTCACAACGAAGCGGAGTGCTCGGATTTTAAATTGTGTCCCCTGTGAAGTGACATTTGTCATTAGTCCCAGTGTATGCAGTGAGGGTTTTAATAATTTTTAATAGCCATCATTTTTAATTTTAGGAAGTCTTGGAGATTTTATATGCATCTCCAATACCCTGTTGGTTTGCTTATTAAGTATATTGGCAAATATATTTATGTAACTAATTTTACCCTATTTAAATTCATTTCACAGACCACTGATTTTTCCCTAAAAACCAATGCGGAAAAGTGTCTGCAGATTGTGTCTGGGTCTTGTTAGAAGTGTTTAGTTCCTCAGTGTCGTGTTTAAAGTCTAAACAACAGGAAAAATGTCAATTTTCTCAAAACATTGGCTTGCTTACAGTCTTTGTTTGTATATGGAATATATCATGATACATGCACAATGTTGATGTTTCTTCGTATTTGGTCTTTTCTGACTAACTTAGACAGACATTCACATTGAACTTCCGGATTCAAACAGGGAAGAAAATATTTGATTTGTGACATTTGATAAAACAGTTTAAAACAAAACAGAATACATATTTTGGTTGTTTAACATCTGTTTTTCTGTGGGAATGAACAATGGATCTCTCATTATCTGCTTTGGGAGTAATAACCAAAGTCAAGATCTCTTCAACATGGTTGCCCAGACAATTGTCACTTTGAGGTCAAAATGTGATTCTATGACTAGTTAAAGGGGCATATGGTTAACTTATGACCTCAAGTTTGTCATCACAGATATGTCATTGAATGCCAGTGAGCCATGAACACTTTTGAGAAGATTAAAAATGAGATAATTAGGGTGACTGAATCTGCAGTTTTTGGCTAATTATGGGATTTGTGTAACCCAAAAGAGCTGTTCAGCCTTGATGTCAATTTGTAGGTCGACCTAAGCTAATTTGTTATGAGTTCCTTTGGGAATTGTTAATGGATTTTTTTGGTTTAGAATGGTGGTTTTGAATTTACGAGTAACATAAGGTTTATGGTCGACATTTCTTGAAGAGCCGCTGTTCAACAAATGTGAACAAAACATTAAAGGCTTCTTTTTAAATGTTAACCACAGACTTTAACTTATAAATAAAAAAAATATTTTTATTTCTGAATTATATTCATGTTAAATACTGATTAAGTTGAAAAAAATCATAATAAATAAATTGAAAGCTGTTTTTCTAAAAAATTTAATTGTCCTAAAATGTCAAAAATTTAAATTTTCTTCTGGATTTACAAACTGAACTGCTGTATTTCAAAAATGTTGATTGATCAATGACTTAATGATCAATGAGGAAAATACTGAAATGATGAAAGTCTAAATTGTTCCAAGGCTTTCACAAATCTCCCTTGTTTTGATCCTGCAGATGTTTTGTGATCATCTGCGAAAGTCTGTCGAGCTCAGAGAGGACCTGTTTTGAAGAGCGCTTTCTATTGTAACCATCTGCTTTACAGATGACCTAATGATGATCTAACAGAGCAATGGCAACGGCTCTTGTTTTAGCACCCACCCCTTCATGCGAGCGTTTATCACTATGTGTTATCCGTGGGATGTGTTACAGATAAACTTCAAGAACAACTGGATCAATACTGAGAATCAGCAGCATCTTATTATACAGGCTTTTAGTAACATACTTGAAGAAAATCCTTTAGAAGGATGTTTTAATGAAGTCAAATTCTAAACATTAACTTTGTTTAACTTACTGCAAAAGGCTTTCATGCAAAATAAGTCTGGGATTAATGAGAGTCACGTGTTACATTTTCAGATACTTTTTTTTTTGAAAAGTGTATTTACAGATTTCACCATTCATTTGGAGCTACATATTCGACTGTTATGAATCGCCAATTAAAGGGATAGTCTGCCCATTAATGAAAAGTCTGTCATCATGTACTCACCCTCATGTCATTTCAATCCTTAATGATTTCCTCCTCCTGAGCACAAAAGAAGATATTTTGAAGAATGTTGGTAAATAAACAGTTTCAGTTCTCATTGACTTCTATTGTATAGTATATACAAAAAGTACAATGGATGTCAATGGGAGCCAAAACTGTTTAGCATGTAGTTGAGTAAATGATGGTTGAGTTTTCATTTCTGGGTGGACTATCCCTTTAAGCCCTCCTGCTTTTATGGTGCCATGGCATCCATTGCAAAAAGAGGAACACAACAAGTATGCCCTTGTACAAATAAACAAAGCCTAATGCAATTCAAGGCTCAAAAAACAGCATCACTCTTGTTTTATGGCTGTGAAAGTTAAACAGGAAAGCAGAGAAGTTTTTTTTAGCTGATTGCTGTGAGACTTGAGTTGTTTTGTCTTGAGGTCAGTTTTTACTTTCTTTAATGAGGTCAGTTTTTACTTGCTTATTTCACATCACTCTTCGTCTCTGGAGACACTTTGGTAATGAGAGTTTCCTCTGCTGTATTTAGAGGAATATATTTAAAGACAAACATGAAACACTTTTTAAGCATTACAAGATGTCCTAAAAAATATTGTACTATATAAATCAGGTATGACTAGATTCCAGTGCCACACAATTTTTTTTTGTCCACATTGAAAGTGAAAATGCCACACTACTGCACTGGCAACTCAAAGAAAACTAAGAACACATGGTGCTTCTCCATCCTTTTTATGGTTTTGCTTGTGGAACATGAGGGATTTGTCATAGTATCTAATATTTCCTCAACTTTCATAATAAATCTCTTCCTAATCATGTTTTGATGTTTAAGCAGGATTTTGGTCCAATGCATTTTCTTTGCGTTTAGGGGGCTATCTGGCACAATACAGCAAAAATGAAAACCAAACAACAAACTACATGAAAGAGATACCTTTTTTTCCGCTTGTATTTTGTTGGACTTTGGAAATTGTTAGGCTTTATATAGTGACCCTTTTTTTGTTGATTACTTGTCTGACTTTTTTTTTTAATGGCAAAGCAGAACTGAGAGTATTTTTCAGTTATTGGCAGCTACAAACATAATCAAATTAGCAAAAATCTTAAAAAAACAACAACAACAGACAAGGGGTGTGAAGAATTGTAAATGACTAGTGTTTCTGCAAGCTTTTTTTTGTCCTGTGAGTTCTGCCGGCACAAATTGTGCATGTGACTGAATTAGTATGTTTTAGTTGTTGTATGAAAGCCAATCAGACCTTCCAATCTGTTTACTTCTATGTCTGTCCACTGACTAGCTATAGCTTAGGGGCACTATTGTTTCTGAGATATTTAGTACAGATGGTAGTTTATCACAGAATTCAAAAAGTCACCTGGAACAGCAGCTAGTGAACCTTGTCAAGCATTCCAGGAATCCCAGAGCGCTCTGGGCCTCATGTCACTACTCAAGCGATTTTACAATCAGATCTTCTCCAAGTAAAGATCAACTTTTTGGTACTGGATTGGATCATTACTTGTCCAGTGTAAAATTTGGGTCCTGAAGCCTTTTTTGGCTCTCAAAAAGTTGCCTATAAAAAAAGAGTTATTCAACATTTTCACAGTTTTGCCCAGGAAAAAATATACTATTTATTTAAATATACTACATATTTTACTGAACCCAACATGCCTCACTTATATACATTACAATTAAATATATAATTATGACATACAAAGCAATTCATAAAATCACAAAAATAAGCTTTAAGAAAATAAAGTCCTTGTGACAACTAGCCCCGTCCCCCCATTTACTTATTTTGCAGCTGAATGTTCACTCCTGGAGTGAATAACTCCTTGGGAATCCATTGTTTCTATTCCAAGTATTATTCACACCAAAACGTTTGCACTGAATATTAGCGTTTGGCATGAAAGGGCTTTAAGACTCTCACTTAAGCAGGTGCTTTTTATTACCATCTTATGATCTGATAGGAATTAACCCTTGACAGACTTGCACTTCAAGGTTTTCAAGTCCCCTCTACATTTCCATTCTCTCTGCACTGGTAGAAGTAATGGGATTTAATCATATAAAATTAATTTAGCTGATTCACAGCATGTAAAAAAAAAAAGTATTTTTTGACTATATTTATATGGTTTTCATCCATCAATTTAGCAAGCTGATTTTGTACACGTAATTTAATTCAGACTTTCATTCACAATGAGGGATGAATAATTCAAAATGTCAAGTTTGAAATTTTGTTTCTTTGTAACACAATTTATTGAAAAGCTCAGGCGGATGTGCTCTTCGAACTCACATTCAATAGACGGCTTATCAAAATTGGTGCTTTTTAAACTCAAAATATTTGATGGCTGAGTTAGTTCGTGCTAATGATGCCTCTGATGATGCACATGCCATGACTGTGTCCCATCAACTCTTTGAGTCAGTCTCTCTGTTTCCCTCTGTACAAAGGCTGCAGATTACATCTTTTATGCTTCTTCTATGGATCCGAGTTGAGCTTCATGTCTGGCTCGCCTCTGGGGCTCTATCATTGCTGAGTTTCTTGTCTGCCTGTCTGCCCTTTTCTTGTCAGAAAAGCATTGACTATAAACTCTCTATATTCTTTTGGCTGATTTATGTAAGATAAAACTGATGTGTGAGATGTTTGTCCTCTTGGCACTTTCACCTCCAGGATTGGTGGAGAGCTGTTGTGTGGCTGGGCAGAAATGGGCAGAGGAGAACCAGCACTGTAACCGTATGCCTGTCAAAACAGAAGACCTCAACTCTGTATGTGGGTAAGTTGGCTGACTATTTCAAAGCCTTGGTTATGCTCCTCAATACACCACAGAATCCTTTTTATTAGCAGTTATTTGTCCTCTGACCAGCAAAGTATATGTTGGTGACCCAAAAACCACTGACCACAAAAATTAAAGGTGTAGTTCACCCAAAAATGCAAATTCTGTTATCATTTATTACCCTCTGCTTGCTCCAAAACTGTATGATTTTTTTTCTTATGTTGAGCACAAAAGAAGATATTTTGAAGAATGATGGTAACCAAACAGTTGACGGTAGCCACTGACTTCCATAGTACTTTTTTCCATATTATGCAAATCAATGGCTACCGTCAACTGTTTGGTTACCAACATTCATCAAAAAATCTTCTTTTGTGCTCAACAGAAGAAAGAAACTCGTATGGTTTTGGAACAACTTGAAGTTGAGTAAATGATAACAGAATTTGTATTTTTGAGTGATCTATCCCTTTAATAATGTTACAAGCTACTGGACCAGCTGTGGCACGTGAGCTTCTTTTGAGTATTCAGCCAAGCAGTAAGCAGGGCAAATGAGAATAGTCCATATTAATCTTCTCTGCATGCAAATAAAATGTAAAAGGCTGCTGCTGATTGGTCAATTGCAACCAGTTGTTTCTGTGGTCTCGTTAAACCAGGGGTTTTCAAAAGTTCTGGTGACATCATGGACCCCTAAATATGATGAGTATGAGTGAACCCCAAGAATACTGTGAAATAATATTACAATTTATAGTAACTTTTCTGTTCAGTCATTACTCCAGTCTTCAGTGCCACATGCTCCTTCAGAAATCATTCTATTATGATGATTTGGTGCACAAGAATGAACATAATCAATAACAATATGTACATGGGAAAGGTGTTGACAGCCTTGGTTTTAGAATCAGGTATTAAATTATGTTAAAACTCTTTTTTTCCCCTGCTTTGTTAAAGTGTGGTCCAGAAGCAGTGCTGTTCAGGTGCTGTAAGAGAGAACAGGTGTCAGGCTGGCATGAATGCAGCAAGGGCTGGGCATGCCTGTGAGGGAAACAGCCCTCTCTGTGGAGAAGATTCCCAAACGGTAAGATCTTAAATGGTGGCATCAAACAGACTACAAAATAATGTAGAAAACTGTTTTTAAAGTCCACAGAGACCAAAAAAATAATGCCAGAAAAATACTAATGATGTATATAACCTCTGTGGGATTCTGCATGTTTGGAAACAGTCCTTATTTTGTCTATTCAGAATTATTTACTGAATACTATCTGGTCATGTGAATGGCTGAATATTACATGTCCAGGCTAAAAACTAAACATTTTTGTGTTAACCAGTTGTGAACACAACAAGCAGCATGACATTTTGTCTTTAAATTTCAATTTTATCACCTACAGTGAAATTCCATTAGTCCTCATAACTACACTACCACTATTAAATACAACTATTTAAAAGTTTGGGGACAGTAAGATTTTTTTTACCGATATCTGTTTTAAAAGAATTGTCTTATGCTCACCAAGGCTGCATTTTTTTTTTGTTGATAAAAAATCAAGACTAATTAAAATGATCTGTTTATAGTTAGTTTTTTTCTATTTTAATAATTTGTTTAATATAATATGTAAAATGTAATTTATTCCTGTGAAGGCAAAGCTGAATATTCAGCAATCATTACTCCAGTATTCAGTGTCACATGATCCTTCAGAAATCATTCTAATATGCTGATTTGGTGCTCAAGGAACATTTCTTAGTATCAGTGTTGATAACAATTGTTCTGCTTAATATTTTTGTGGAAACTGTTTTTTTTTCAGGATTCTTTGATTATAGAAAGATTTTTTTTGCTGCTTTTAAATTCAGATTTGTTCAAATGAGGTAATGCAACACAATTTCATCTAAATGCAAAATAATGTTTTCTAATTTTTTTTATGTATTGGGAATACATGAATAATGTGCAATGGGGAAAATCCATCAGAAATCCAGATCAACACAGAAGACAGAGTCAAGATTCATTCATTCATTCATTCATTCATTCATTCATTCATTCATTACCTGCCTGTGGTTTATTGAACTCTAAATTAAAATATGTATTTTTTAAATATTTTTTAAACTTGTTTTAAACTTGTTAAATGGCATCTAATATAAAATATATTTATATAAAAAATATAACCCAAATCCATGTTTGGCAAAAAGGCAAGAATTAAAAATAAAATGCATTCAAATTTGTAATATAAGTTGTAATATGTTTTAATATTTTTTGAATTTTTATCTAAAATTACCTGCCTGTGAAGTTTATTTAACTTGTTTAAAAATATAACCCAAAGCCATGTTTGGTAAAAAGTTGTAATATTTTCTGTACTGTTTTGGAATAGACTGACTTTATCAGAGAAACATAAGCTGTGAACATGGTCTAATACATTATGTGGTGGAAAATTGCTTGGAAATTTCCCTCAGTTTAATTAAGTGCATGAAACCTCTTTGTGGCTTACAGCTGAATAAAGTTTTCCAACACTGTCCTGGCTTTTATTCTATCACCCTGAGAGCCAAAGTGCCATATCAATGTAATGGCAGACGCTCATTGCTCAACTAGCACTCCCGCAGTTATCAGCAAAGCCTCAATCAATAGACCCAGGTCACTATTCCTTTGAATGAGACATAAAACCCAGACTTTACCTCTTGCTATGTCTCAAGTGGCACATTCCGTTGGCCCAGTGCCTTGCTTCCCGTAAAGGGCCTACCTGATATCCTGAGGCAAGGTGAGATTTGCTGTAGCCGTGTCAGTACATTTGGGCTGACTTATTTCCTTTTCGTGGTGCACACACAGATGATGGAACACTAAAATAGGTTCATTTAAATTGCCTCCATAGAGGTACCCGCAGAGATGTCTTTTCTTTCTCTTTTTAACGAGACTGTTGCTAACTACGTAAGCCTTCTCAGTTGCATCAGAGGTTTAAGCGATACAAAAACAGTTGAGAGGTAATTATTTCCATGAGGGCTGCTTTCTCAGGACCCCTGCCACCTCACACCAGTAACGTGATTAATTATTGTGGAAATGTTTAATCTCTTTCTTCCTCCATTGCATTTACATTCAGTTAATGACCATGAGAAATATTTACTTTACACCAGCATGCTGTGTAAGGTGAAGCCGAGCCTGTTTATTATGTTTATCCAGACGTTAATTGCCAAGTCAGTCGAACGCTTTGCCAAATTGGTGCGCAATGTTTGAAAGCCGCCATCAGTTGTTTTGTAGAATAAGGTGCCTGTGGATTTGGGATTGACAGGATGTGATTGGCAGATGGCGGACACAGAGGGCATGACAGGAACAGCTGGCGGCGGTGAAATAACAGATGTTGACTGGCGTGTTGCTTTAATATGTATTATGTTTATGTACGAGTAGTCCTTCATTGCCGTGTCATTCTGGTTGACATCTGGTTTATCCTTCATCAGAGACACTAGTGAATTAACATTATGTATTATTAAATTACATTAATGTATTATTGATAAAAGTTCAGTTGAGTAAGACAGCAGAAAGTCTCACCTTGATACATATATCATTGATAAAAAAACATTATTTTTTTATGTCCAAATGTAATTCCCTTCAAATGAGTGCAATTCATTCAAAAATTCATTACGTACAAGTTCTTATGTAAAATTGTATATATTTGTAAAACTATTCTAACATAACTTACTAAGAATAATATTACAGTTATTATAATAAACAGTTTACAAAGATATTTTTGCTTCATGAATAAAACATAAATGACTTGAATACATGTATTATAAAGAGTTTTTTATATTTTATGGGACATTAAGTAAAAATATCAAGGTCAGATAATGATCCTTGGATTGTTTTGGAGGAAAAAAGGCAAAAATACGGAAGTTCTAAGCGGCCATGCATTATTTTTTTTCCCCTTCTTGTTTCCTCGTTATAACGACTTATTTTCTCATTATATCGACATAACGAGAGTTATTTTCTCGTTATAACGACTTCATTTTCTCGTTATATCGACATAACGAGAGTTGTTTTCTCGTTATAACGACTTCATTTTCTCGTTATATCGACATAACGAGAGTTGTTTTCTCGTTATAACGACTTCATTTTCTCGTTATATCGACATAACGAGAGTTGTTTTCTCGTTATAACGACTTAATTTTCTCGTTATATCGACATAACAAAAGTTGCTTTCTCATTATAACGACTTCATTTTCTTGTTATATCGACATAACGAGAGTTGTTTTCTCGTTATAACGACTTAATTTTCTCGTTATATCGACATAACAAAAGTTGCTTTCTCATTATAACGACTTCATTTTCTTGTTATATCGACATAACGAGAGTTGTTTTCTCGTTATAA